GCCAACCTTAAGGTTGCATAGTGAAATCCTATTTCTGGGTGGGGTATGGGGTCAATAAGTATCCCATTTATTGCCACACCATCACTTTTATACTCAGTTAAAGATTATAGAGTTCAATTATAGTCACTCAATATCCTATTACGAAGATATACGTATTGCTCATTAAAATCTTTAAGACCTTTTGTGGTTCTTTTGAGACAGAAATTCATTATGTAGACCAGGATGGTTTGGAGTTTGCTTGCATCCTGCCTCAGTTTTCAGTAGTGGGATTATAAGCTAGCACAGTCCTTGAACTATAAGAGGCATTGTTAGTCAAACTCTTCCATGGAATAGTTTCTGATACAGACTTCTAGGCCATTTGCCTAGAAGAAAGCTTTTGGTTCTTAATGAAGTATTACCCTATGACAGAGGCTGAGAAGTTGCTTTTTATATTGCTGCATCTAAAAGAAGGAAGAATTTAAACATGATTTTTTTTGTTTTGTTTTGTAAAATTGAGTTGAGAGACTTGAGTTAAAGACAAGATAGAGGTGATCCAGCAGCACACTAAATCACACAAACACAACAGCCTCCAGTTTCTGAAATCCAGAAGGTCTCAAGGATGTCAGCACTGCAACAGTATTCTCAAAATAAACCATCGACTAAGTTGTGCTTGCCCGTCATCTGTCACAGGAAGATTTTTCTGAGTCAGTTCAGAGCTCTATGCTACAATATTTTGAGATACAGAGTCATATCTATCAACAGTGTGCACCCATGTGACAAAGTCATACATACTTTAGGTAATCCTGTAGGTCATACTAAGTCAAGGTATTCTTAGTATGTGCTAGGGAAATAATGATCAAATTGAGTAACTAATTAAAGGGGCTGACAAGCAGAGGGGCAGTCACTCTCACAAAATTAATTATTTGCTATTATCTTACCCTGCATATCCCTTGACTTACCTTCTTTAAGCCTTTAGCCACGGTCTTAATTTGCTTTCTCCCTACACTTTCTGAACATTTTTCCCCTCTTAAATAAGCTATTTGTCCAGAAATGCTACAGCTAAAGTGCTCTGTCTGCACAAAAGGCACTTTTAGCAAGCCAGATATGCACAGCTAAGCTGTGCTTGCAAAACTGTTTTTCTTAAAGTGCAGTCAATTGACCATATACCAGCACTAATTCGCTCTTAACCATTAAAGCATGTGCACACAGTGCCCATATGACACTGCAGTCATGAAGGTTGATGGCTTGCTTATACATGCAGCTAAAACGAGTTTTAGTGCAGCCACCAGATTTGGCTTAGGATAGCATACCAGATACCCCCACTTAATGTCAAAGGCTGTTTCCATTTTCCCAGAACTACTTTTGCTTCCCCTCTGAATCAGAGATTCTCCCACAGAAATATACGAAATACTGCTTAGAACTGTTGTGCTAGAAACATTCTGACATCACCATCATAAAACCCAAATGGAATGATAGTACACATTACTGTGATGTAAAAATAATCTTTAATGTATTTCCAAAGTCAATTTTTCTTTGTATTTTCCTCAGACTTCAGACTACTTATATGGGTGCTTCAAATTCCATCTTGAAGTACAATGATGAGACAGGTGCTGGATTTCAAGAGTTTTATGTTTTTATTTGGGGTGTTCAGCCTGTGCTTCATTTTTATACTAATTTCAGTCATGAGAAAAGATAATTGTTCTGAGGGACACCACCTACACCTTTTTATTTCTCCATGGCAGTAGTGATTGACAATAATCTCACCTATGGGAGGAGTAATTATATAGATACCAGAATGTGTTCTGAAAACTCCATAGCTGGGTCTTGAAGCAAATTCACTTCCTACTTGGGATAAAAGAGTGTAAGACTGAGGTATTGAAAAATGGACAGACCGGTGGCATGGGCATCTGAGCTTATTCAAATGATTTCAGATGCATTTCAGGGGGGAAAAAAGTGCCAGCTAATGTTTTAGTGACTTCTTTAAATTTCCACATACATTATATAAACGTATTATGCAAATTACATACTTGTAAATATCCCTTCTTTTGTTTGACCTTTTGAGTATACATCTTTGATTATACCCCCAGAGAAGGGAGAAATGGAGGAGAATAGGAAAGGGATGGTGTTATCTTCAGATACGACACTGGAATTCATCGACCTAACTGACTTAACTGCCAGAAATAAGGAGGGCTGTGATGCATCATAGATTACAACCCTTTGTAACTCCAGTACCATGGAATCCTATGCCCTTTTCTGTCCTTCATGGGCCCCAGACATGCATGTCATGCACAGACATGCATGCAGGCAAAGAATCATACACATAAATGAAATACACAAATTAAAAAAAAGAAAAAAAGAAAAAGAAAACCAGACTGGAAAAGTGAATTCTAGGCAAGTCTAGGAAAGTTATTAAGACCCAGCATCAAAGTAAAAAAAGAAATGTAGCTAGAGATACAGATCAGTGGTAGAGCCAAGGCTCCAGGTTCAATATCAAGTACTGGAAATAAGCTTTCAGTGAGTTATTTTTCTGCCATTCTAATTCAGAAAAAAATATGAGTTCTCAAAATAATATATGGGTTTTCCCAATGTCTTCTACAGAAATTTTTCTTTTTCCTTTCTTCTTTCCTTTTTTAAATAAAAGATAATGTTAAATTCAATGAAGTAAAAAAAGAAATCTGCTCATGTGAAGTTGCAGGGACATGACTTTTTATTAGGTTTGTGAGTTCAATTCCTATTCTTCACTTTCTTCAATGGGAACTTAGACAAATTATTTAACCACTCTTTGACTTCATTTCTTCACCTATGAAAGGGTCTATAAAGCTATCTACCTTGCAAGAGTATGAAGAACATGTGAAAGGTTTTTCATACATGTGAAAGGTTTTTAATCATGCCTACCACAAGTTAGTTTCATATCATTTGCAACATTAATTTTATAATTTGGAGACACTAAGACCAAAAGGCCAAATTCTCATCCTCTCCTTTTTATTTCCAAAGCTGGTGAGGCCTGGCAGATGATTTTAATTAGCTGTCCTCAGGGACCTTTCCAGTGTCATAGTATGACAGACAGAAAGATAACATCTTTTACAAAGTGAAAAGTCTTTCAAATTATAAAATTTGTTCTTGAAATTATAATTTTCTGACAGAACATCATTTATTATATTCTAGTGCAAGACAATGCTCTTACGTTTTTTAAGATAAAAGACTTCCTCTCTGGTCATTTATAGTTATTCAGTGAAAATATTCAATCTTGGGATTGAATTAAAATACAGAGGGACTGTATTTTAATGTTTGCTACATGGCTACTATTTTAATGATGCTGCAAAGAAAATGGTTTAAAATAGTTTCTTTATTTATAATTTTATTTTTCTATTCCCAAATACTATGAATAACCATACCAAGGGATAACATCTCTGAAGGAAAGAAACTGAACATCTACATTAAACGCTACCCACAGATTCTTGGCTTTTACTCCATATATGTTCAGCACACAATTCCAGATACACGTCCTAATATTATTCTTTATGGCACTGTGGAACTATTACTTTAAAATGAAGTTAATAAAGTCCTTAATTAGAATATTTGGGTTGCTCGGAAATACATATGAACCATGAAGCAGTAAATCCATCTGGAATTTAAAATGCAAATGTTCGAAAATGATAAAAGAACTAAAAACAAGTGTAAATTATTGTTGCTAGAAAATGATTGATTCTTTCTCGTACTTGCATTAATAATCTCTCCAACTTATATCAGGATTGTACAGTTTTTCTTTTATTTAATGCTTGAGTTTCTAGCTGCAATGCCTGATGGACTGCATATTAGGTTATATGTTTATTTTTTATTTAAATTAGGAACAATCCTATTTTATATATCAATCCCAGTTCTATCTCTCTCCCATTGTCCCCTGTCCCTCAAAGACTCATTTCCATTCCTCTTCTGCTCCATAGAAAGAGTAAGGCTTCTGGGGGGGGGGGGATCATCAAAGTCTGTCACATCATTTAGGGCAGGTCCTAGGCCCTCACCCCTGTGTCTAGGCTGAGAAAGTATACCTCTATGGAGAATGGGCTCCCAATATCCATTCACATACTAGGTTTAAAATGCTGTTCCATTACCAGGGGCCCCATAGACTGCCCGGGTCTCCTAACTGTCACCCACGTGCAGCGGGGTTGGGGGCGGGCAGGGGATGCTGGTTCCATTCTATGCTAGTTTCCAAGCTGTCAGTCTGGGGCCCATGAGCTTCCCCTAGGTTATATCTTTAATATCATGCAAATTTTTGCATGGTCTATCAAGATCTGTGTATTTCCCCCGCCCCCTGTGGTATACAAAGAACAACACTGAAATGGCAGAATATTTTTAGAGCTTACATGAGATCTGAAAAGTTGTAAAAGATTAATGAATATGGCAGCTCTTTACTAATGCAAAAACAAAACCTTTGCAACATTTGTTTTTTACACTGAATTTATTTTCAATCACCCATCAAAACATAAAAAACTGTATATATTAGTATGCCACCCTGTAATGTTTCCATACATATATTGTGCAATATTTCAATCAGTTACCTATCTCCTTAAAGATTCATTATTTCTTTAACCTTTATTTTAGTGAAGAAGCAAATAAAAGCCTCATTAAAGCACAGAAACAAGTTTATTCAAGCCTGATTCCATCAGAAAAGAAATCAAAGAGTTGCTTTACTTTACAGGTGGTTTAGTTTTAGCTTCTCAGTATTCCAGAAACTATTTCATTTGGGGTTCATGACACTGGCTTCACAATACAGCAAAACTGATATTGAAATTGGCACTATGCTTCTGGTTAGAAATGAGCTAACGCTGGCCTCTAATTCAGTCTTAATTTTAACCGTAACTTACAGTGTCATTTTAGAAAATATTTAGGTGGATTCCTATCCAAATATGTAATTGTACTTCGCTTGATATTCCGAAGCAAGGAGAGGTGTTTCCTGAATCACATACTACTACTTTGGAGTGTAAGGTGATGATGTTGAGTAGTCATTTTAATTTATTTTTCAGATCAGCATTTTCATGACACATCTATCTAACTATGGGAATGACCGCCTTGGCTTATACACCTTTGTGAACTTGGCCAACTTTGTGCACAGCTGGACCAACTTGAAACTGCAGACCCTGCCTCCAGTACAACTGGCCCACAAGTACTTTGAGCTCTTCCCTGAGCAGAAAGACCCTCTCTGGCAGGTACTATTTAAACCTTCTCTCCATGGGGAGCAAAAACATTAGCATCATGTTGCTGTTTAATTTGTGTCAGGAACTAACTAAACAGATACTAAATAAATCAAATCAATATATTAGGGCATATTAAAATGTATATATAATACAAATAATTCCCCTTTCCAACTGTCATATTCTCTTTAACAATATTTTTTTTGTATCTGTTACAATGTAAATGTTTAGATTTGTATTCTCATTTTGTTTGTTTGTTCAAATCACTTGGAAATTGGCAACAAAGATGATATCGTTGGAGTTTTGACCAAGTAAATGCTTTAGACTTACATGCAATGCGAGTACTAATGAGCTGTAAAACAGTCAGCACTAGAGGAGCTCAGGAGACTAAAAACAGACACAGAATAAGAGCCTCTGTAATCCAAGGTCCTGTCCCCAAATCCAAATATGTGTATGTCCATGACAGAGTATACGTATATCAAAAAGAGAGGAGCAGCCTCTTGCCTGTCTTCATAAGGATTTAGTGTCTATTTGGTGTATTTCACTTTTCTTTCAGCCTAACTAATTTCAGTAATGCTACGCCTATCAATAAAAGAGAAACTTGTCAGTTTTAGGATGGCTTTTACTTCTAATTTGACTCTATGTGAGACCGCACAGCTTGAAGGCATCAAATGTAAACTATCTCTTCTTAGCAGTTATCTAGGAAACACTGCCTCCCACTTACTCGGTTCTTTATGCATCAGATTGCATCGACCCACACAATCAATGAGCTGGCCACAGAGAGCAGATCAGATGTTCCCCTGCTAAGCAGTCGGTAGAAAAGTAGCATCATCATTAATGAGAAATTACTGCAAAACAGACCTTCAAAATCATCCCCATTTCCTGTCTACAAGCCTATTTTGCTTCCCTTTATTCCATGAATCACATCATACAGTGCTATGTCTATTTGCCCAGGGATTCTCTCCACCTATGCTCATTGAGGATCTGCCATGCATGCAGCAAGCTAGCTCTAGGGCATGCAATGAAGAATAAAATACTACAATTTATTTCTACTCCAGGAGAGGATTATTACTGTTTTAAAATGAACTCTTGCCTCAAATCATGTCAAAGCAGTCACCCACCTTATGGGCTTACAGTAGACTACCTATTATAAGGGAAATCAATTATTTTTACCCACAAATTTACATATATTTGTATACATATATATTATCTTCAATTGATTCTTTGCTCATACAACAAATCCTGGTCACAGTTTCCCATCTCTCCACCTCTCCAGTTCCCACCACCACCTCTCCTCTACCAGAAATACATTCCCCCTCCATTTCCTTTTCAGAAAAGGGTAGCGCTCCAAGAGATGACAGCCAAACAGGACAAAACAAGATAAGACAATACAAAAGCCCCCATAGCAAGGCTGGAGAGGGCAACCCAACAAGAGGAATGAAGTCCCAAGAGCATGTAAAAGAGTTAGAGATATACCCAGTCCTATTGTTAGGAGTCCCACAAAGAATGCCAAGCTAAGAACCATAATATATAATACATCAATAAAAAATCCAAATCAATAAGTATTTCAGATAGGTTGTTAACACATAAATGATCAATCAGCTCAGTGGCTCCCAGCTCTAATGTGTATTTTAGGGAAGAAAAGTTTCCTTAAACATTGAGATGTACCTTTTTTTTTTTAAAGATTGTTGGAATTTTCAGAAATATCAACAAAAATCTTTTCATAATAATTGGATATCATTAGTATTGCTATCTATCTTTTAATGTGGATGTGAGTGTGCACTTCCCAAGGTGTGAGTGTGGAGGACTGAGGAGTACTTTGTAGAGTGTAGTGCACTTAATTGTGAGATGTTGAGAGCATTTGAATTACTGCAGGAAACTGGATAAACTTTACCAATCAAAAGTAATGTCAAAAGTGAAGTTAGTGGTGATAAAGAATGTGAGACTCAGAGTTATCCTTTCTCTGGTTGAATCTGCTTTCACATTTGAATCGCTAATAGCAACCCAAAGTGAAATGGAAATAACCCTCATTTCCTACATGTAAGCGAAGCCAGAATTAGTTGGTAAACATTTTACACCATTTTCAACATGACCTAGAATTCGAATAGACAAATAGTGCATCTTTGATGCTGTTACACATTGTAAAAGTGAAACATCCAGGAACCTGTTTATATTTATGAGTATAACTTCTTATTTAGTACTCTTCACTTGTAGTTAGAAATCAATTGCTATTTTCCTTTACATTTCAATTCACACGTTTTTTTTATTACTACAAGTAGGAAGAAAAAGTGCAAAATGGTAATCTTCACATCTGTTTAATTCCTTTGGTTCCTTATGTAAATTTCATTAGCACCAACTACTCTATATGTGGGACTGCTTTGTCACCTAATTAAAAAGTGCAATGTGAATATCTGCCAATAGGCAGCATGATCAGCAGCTACAGAATATCTTGTGGGAAATTGGTTCTTCCAAAACTGCTTGACACAGACATGTATATCCATGCACACAGAAAAAATGTGATTCCCAAATTGACTCCTCATCAGCTTTGTCTCTACTATAAGAGTTTTAAAATTATACTCATGGGTCCTTATATCCCTTATTGTTTTGACAGAATGATCACTGCAGAAAATGGGGGAAAAAAGTTTTCTTCTTAAACACACATGCACACATGTGCATATGGGTTCACACATACACACATACATACACACACACACACACACACACACACACACACACACACACACAGGAACAAAGAAAGAAAGAAACAAACAAACAAAAACCCTTTTGTAGGAACCAAAGCCACAAGCTTGGAGGCAGTGGAAAGGTCAAATTCGCACATGCTCTAATCGATGCTCTTAAGCTCTCAAGCTGTCAGGTTAGCTCAGCCTCAGTCTTCCATCAGCCACTCAGGAGTCTCACTATCAACAAACATCCAAGCATGAAGTAAATTCTTGCTTGTTGTGTGTCCAGGGAAATGTTAAAGAATTGTCTTCTAGACCTCTACCAGTGTCTCCAGAGTTGGAGAAAGAGAGAGATGGAGAAGTAAATCCCAGCTTTTAGTGGCAGGTGATTAGCACTTGGGTTGATTCTAAATATCAAAGCATTAGCTTCTAGTTAGAAATGATGAGATCTGAATATCCATGTTATAAACAAATAACATCATCACTGTGCATGCTATTAAATATATTTGTCTGTTGAAGTAACAAATGAGTGCTGACAGAGTTATAGATGGTAAGAACAGAACAAGTTAGAGACATTCAACCCAATCTTGGGAACCAAACTAAGTCCCTTGACTAATTAGAGATGAGCTGGGATGAAAGTCGGGCTTCCTTATTTCTGCTCAGATGCAGTTTCGTGATTTTACGCTCAGAAAGACAAGTCTCCTTCTATCATGGGCTCTCTCTTTGAAGCTGAGAAGAATCTAGTTTTGGGTTCAGTGGGAATTTGCTAAACTGAAACTTCAGAAACAGTTATATAACAAAGGAAAGTTTTACCACCATGAGATTTACAAACTGCAATAGCTTCATATTGTGTTAACAAAGTAGCACTGTAAATTGGTTTTCATATTTTTACTCTCTTTAACATTTGCTATCTTATTTATATTCAGTTACTACATTACCACCCATAATTGCAGACATGCACCTATTTTATACAACATGCAATATATAGATATATATGCATATATATGCTTAAACATATATATATATATATATATATATATATATATATATGCTAAAACTTAATGATACAAGAGACATTTTCATTTAAATCTCAAAGGAAACCCTAGAACCAGGTAGATGTCTGTTCAGGTAAACTTGGAAACTTCCTGTGAATTTGGATTGGATCTATAATAAAGAACAATGAGTTCTGAAGGTAGGAAGGAAATGAAAAAAAACCTTTGAACAAGTTGTGGTGTTCCATATCTACAAATTCAGTACTGTGCAGAGGTGAGGTAGAAATATCACAAATTCAAGGCCAGCCTGAGCTACATGTGTGTGTGAGCCTCTGTAAGTTACTTTTCTCATCATATTGACAAAATGTCCAATAGCATCACTTGTTTTCCAATACATAAAAACTAAATAAATAAATTGCACTGTTCATAGTTGAGAGGATTCAACCTGTCAAGACAGTGAGGACATACTGGAACCTACCAGTGTACATCATGGTGGGTAGGGAGACAGGGGAATGGGAACTAGCTTCCTCCTTCTTTCACCATATTCATCTTGGCCCACCAGCCCATGGCATGATAACATCCAGGATAGGTTTCCCCTCATCATTCAAAGAGTTCAGCAAATGTCTTTACAGATATACCTTAGAGGAGCATCCCAACCTTTTAGTTGCTGAATAGTTGCTGTTGCTGTCTCAGCAAATTGAAAAGGGAAGAAAAATTTTTACCAAGATAGTTTACAGAGATAATTCCAGACACCCTTTTATAGGACAACAAAGAATAGAAAGACATAAAGTTAGGAAAATAATCTATCTCAGAAGAAGTGAAGTTATGAATGGCTTCCTCTCAGTAGGCAATGATGCCTTCAATGGCACGAGGTCAAAGCTGTTTGTAGGTGAGTCTAAAGAAAAGGTTATTAGTGAATAATAATTATCTCATTTTAAGAAGAAAACAATATATTTAAGCTTTGGTCTGTCTGTCTTTCAGCCTTTCTAGTGAACTGATCAATGTAGTTATGGTTTATTTAGTTAATATTTTAATTATTAACATATCTTAATTATTTTTCCAATGGAAAGCTGTCTATGTATTAACACCCTACCTACCTCTCTTCTCCTTACTAAACAACACTGTTTATTATACTCTCTGGAATCTTTGTCAAATATGGAAATAATTCTTCTCTACTTTAATGGTGTAATCTTTAGTGAAGCATACCACCATTCTGATTCTACAAGCTGTCAGACACTGTGAGAACTGAAAATGATGCCATAAGTCTGGAGTGTTCTATTTTCCATCAACATTTGCAGATATGTTCTTGTTGAGCACCACACTGACCAGAGAAATACTTCTT